GGCAAAAGAGCCTGGTATACTAGTATTTAGGCAGTTGCAAGTAACAAGAAGTCTTTAGGGAAATGATGGATTATGAAGGGCCAGGCTAAGTCTTTGAGACTTGTTGAAGATAGAACATGCCATGCTTACACTGACATTCTGTGAAGAACATTCTGGAGTCTGGGAGGAGGTTATCATAGTAATAAAACAAGAGATCATGATGGGTTAGACTGAGGTTGTAATAATAATGACTGTGAGAAGGGAATGGTGTGGAAAGATATTAAAGGACATAGATTTGATAGAACTATGGCTGTATATGAGGGGTGTGCAAGAGAGAGAGAGGGAGGTGATATTAAGGATGACATCCCATTTTCTGCCTTGGATAGGTGAGTGGGTTGTTGGTTATGCCTTGGTGATAGAAAACATAGAAAGAAGAATAGGCTTGAGGGGAAGAAAGTAAGGAGTAGGCTGAGTTTGCACAAAGAAGTGTAGTGTGTGTGTGTGTGTGTGTGTGTGTGTGTGTGTGTGTGATTTTGGCTGGGTCTGGATAAAGTGAAAAGTATGGGCAAGAGTGAAGAATATACATCAATATGGTTGTGTTTCACAGGTGGAGAAGGGGAATGCGCCAGACTTGTCTGGTATCAAGAACTGAGCATGCTGGAGATTGGGCCTTGAGAAAGTGGAATTGGGCTGTTGGGGATTAATTAGTTAAAATCTGTATGAATGGAGGGAGAAAGGTATAAGGGAGGGAATGATGGGATCTAGCAACTCTGTCTGAGCATGTGATCCTGGGCTGAGGCATGTGTGTGTGTGTATGAGCGCGAGCACATACTTATGTACTATATTGCTGGAAGGCATGAGTTGTGGTAGAAATAACTTGGGCTGATTCAAGTCAGGGACACCTGAGCTCAGATCCCATCTCTGCCACTTATTATCTGTGATCTTGTGCAAGATTTTTAACTCCTCTAAATCCTTAGATCGTCTCTTTACTTAAGAAGTTACTTAACTTCCTACTCTCTGGAAGACCAGTGAGTTGCCAAGAAGCTTGTGTTTTCCAGAAATGAGAGATACCACTCTAGACTTCCTGTGTCTTCACACCCAAGGGGAGAAAGGGGTGATAGAGACCAAGGGATGATTTGGTTCCTTCTGATATCAAGACTTGCTTTGGCATCAAGGGTTGAATGGGGAAACCAGATGTCATTTCCTTAGCCAGCCCTGCAGTCATTAAGTTGTTCTTTTAGGGAAGCTTCAGTGTGAAATGCATTTTGTTGAAATTAAGTCTTCTGATAAGAGACAATCTATGTTTGAGAACTTTGGTAAACACAGTGTTATTTTTAACAGAGATATATCATTATTAGGCTATTCTGGAAGGCTGGAAAGTATAAAGAGCAACAGAACAAGGAAGAGTGAGCCATCTTTGTCTCTATTTGGTCTACACCCACTCCATGTATGTGAAATAGAACTAAAATGTTTGTCCACTGGGCTTTTATTAGTTCCTGTTAAAAACCTTCAATGGTTCCCTGATTGATACCAAATGATAATTTCTCTTCCTGGCTTTTAAGTCTCTCTACAATTTGAAAATTATAATGAATATTTGTGCAGTGTTTTATAGTTTTTAGATTTATTCCAGGAATGTAAGTATGGTTTAGTATTAGAAAATATATTACCACATTAAGAGAATAAAAGGAAAAATCCATATAATCATCTCATTAGATTTACAAAAACATTTGATAAAATCCAATATACCTTATGACTCAAGAACTGTAATATACATGGACATTTTCTTAATTTGATTAAGAAAGGGTATCTACAAAAATCCTACAGCAAATATACACAATAGGGAAACATTAGAAGCATCTTTAACATCAGGAGGATGAGAAAAATATTCATTAGCACACTTTCTGTTCAACATTGTGTGACCATCCTAGCCAGTGGAGAATTTCTTGCAAAAAGAAACTAAAGCCCTCAGAATTGGAAAGGAGGAAAAAAATCCCTTGCATTATATGCAGGCAATGAGGTTGTTAAAATAGATCACCTAATTAAATCTTTAGACAAATAGATAGAAATAATAGAAACAGTTGGTAAGGTGGCTAGATATCAATTTGCAAAAATCAGTTGCATTTTATAAACCATAATAATCAGAAAATATACTTTAAAATGACACACAATTTCCATTATAAAATAGCAACAAAAATTATTAAGTGAATAAGTATAATTATATAAGGTTCCCCATGGAGAAAAATATAATAGTTGGAATGACATTAAAGAGGAGCTAAATAAATGGAAAGATATGAAATCTCTAATAAAGATGATATTCTATCTTCCATGTTCATTGAATAGAAGATACAATATCAGAAAGATGTCAGTTCTATTCAAATTGATCTATAAATTCAATGCAGTTTTTCTTTTTATCAAAATCCCATCAGAGTCTTTCATAAAACTTGACAAACGATACTAAAATTTGTATGAAAGCGTAAAGAGACTGGAATGATCAAAACACATCTTAAACATAATAATAGGATTAGGGACTTGCTCTATCAAATATCAGGCCTTATTATGGAGCTACAGAAATAATGTATTATGGGTACAGAGGCAGGTAAACTGACCAATGGAATAGGCTAGTGTCAAGGAATAGATTTCTGTATGTTTGGAACTTTGATATCGACCTAAGGTGGCATGACAATGACAGGTGAGTGGGAAAAGTAAGAAGTAATCAATAAATGGAACTTATGGGAAAAATTAGATCCCCTTTTCACATCATGACCCAAAAATCAACATCAGATAATATAAGGTATTAAATATCAAAAGTAAAAATGTTAGTAGAAAATAAAAACGATCTTTCTGGCCTTGGAGTAGGGAAGTAAGGACACTAACAATCAATTATACTTGTGGGTTTTCTTACATGAAGTTTTTTTTAATTTTTTATCTTTACTGGGTACTCCCTCTTCCTGATCACATTTTCAGCTTTGAGATTTTCTTTATCTCTCTAAACACATGACTCTGATCATCTGCCTCTGTGCATCTCTCTATATTTATTGTCCTGGGCTCAGCTCAGTTAATTTCTTTGCACTCAGAATCCAAACAGTCCCACAGTTCAGATGCCTGTGGCTTACATTTACATGCTGAACTGAAGGTAGGGAAAGAAGCCAAAGGAGGAGTCAGATGAGCTACGGGCCTGGAGCATGTTTGATTGTATTTGAATGTTAACAAATCCCAGTGTGAGATCTATGGATTCTCAGGTCTCTGGAACATTCTCTTAACCACAGCATTCCCTTTCTCCAGAGTTTTCAGAGCTGGGTAGCAGTGTGGACAGAGGCAAAGGGAAAGGCAAAAGAAAGTACTGTTGTCCTGGAGTTGGAGTAAACTGTGGGTCCCTGAATCTACTCAAGTGGAGAAGGTTCTGTTTTCCTACTAGCAAAGCAAAGCTTAGCCTTGTCCAAACAGAGGTAACTCCAAGGTTCCAGACTTGACCGTGGAGCTAAGTAGTTTCATTAATCTGGGGAGAGTGCTTTCCTTACTCACTCTTTTGGTTCTTTCTCAGCCGCCATAAAGTTTTGACATGTTGCTTAGAAGTAGTTGGGATTCCAAGTGGGATTTCACAAGGATTTAAGTGTTTTGTCTTTGGGACAGGAGTTTTGAAACTATGAGTGACTTGCTACAACCACCTGCTCATTTAGCTCACATAGATAGCATTTCTTTTCATAACAAATTACAATCTCTTGTCTTTGTTTGGGATTATAGTTTCCCCAAAACTTTCACTTGTGTCACCATTCTCTATACTGTAGCCAATGTGATCTTTCTGAAGCACAAATGTGTTCACCAGCTTCCTGCTTCGCTTCTCTGCTTAAAACCTTTTTATGGCTTTTCATGGTTTCAGAATGAAATCCAAACTCTTTAGCTTTGCTTATATGACACAATATTGTTCAATCTAATAGTCTGAAGTTTTACTGAACACACTTGAATTTTTCTCCAGATCTCTGTGCATACTGCCCTCTGTCTGAATTCTTTCCGTCTTCCTTTTTTGCCTGGTTAATGGATGCTCTTGCCCAGCTTCTAGGAAGTTTTCTCCTTATCATACCACATTGGGATTGTTGCCCATCCTTTGTGTGTCTCTAACCTTTTCTTTTTATTGTTTAAAGTATTACACATGTCTCCTTTCCCACAACTGTGTTTCTGTAACTCTTATCCCGTATAATAAAAGGCTAATATGCAAATTGACTAAATGGCAGGATGACTGGTTGCTATGATGCACACTGAACACCAGGGGGCAGATGCTCCATGCAGGAGTTGTCTCCTGGTGGTCAGTGCACTCCCACAGGGGGAATGCCGCTCAGCCAGAAGCCCAGAACTGGGTTCATGACTGGCAAGTGCAATGGCAATGGTGGGAGCCTATCCTCCTCCGTAGCAGCACTAAGGATGTCTGTCAGTTGGACATCCCCTAAGGACTCAGGCCTGGCTGAGGGATTTCCGCCACCCCCCCCCCTTCCCCAAGTGCACCAGCCTCTAGTTGAATTATAATACTTAAGATACAATAGTTAAATGTTTACTTGGCTTTCTCCTTCACTGAACTCAAAATTTTGTGAGAGCAGGGTCTGTTCCTTGTTTATTGTTGTGTTTCCCTTAAATTTCATTACAGTGCCTGACACATAGTAGGCTCCATTAGATGTTTATTGAATGAACAAACATCCCTATGAATTGAATGGTATAGTGCTTAGTTTCCCCTCACTTTCCCCATCTGGAGAGATGGAAGTTAAGCACTCCCACAAAGTCACAAAAGTGCTCAGTGGAATAGGCTGAGATAGGCTCCATCTTCCATCAGAGGAATGCACTTTGTATTGGGAGATTCTGCAGAAATGCCTGACCCAATGCATTCTTTCCCTGTTGGGTTTGTGGTTAAGAGAACAGGCTGACAGGGATGCCCCTGGTGGGTGGGCAAATGCATGCATTTGTGCAGATGGGTGAATGGGTTTATCAACATGTGATCCTCTTTTTCATCCCTCCCACTTCCTTCCTGTTCACAGCACCAAGCTGAGCTCCCAGTCCTCGATTCAGGCTGGGGATGATGAGAAGAACCAGAGGACTATCACTGTCAATCCTGCCCACATGGGGAAGGCGTTCAAGGTTATGAATGAACTGAGGAGGTACATTTCCTATTTTGCCTGTGCCCTTTTGGAAGCAACTTGCCTGGTGAGCGTTATCAGGTTATATTAAGTTAGGACACCACCTCCTAATGAATTCTGACTCTTCCCCACCCACTCTCAGTCACGTGGCTTCCCCTTTCAAACTCTGATTGAGAGAGATGTCTTTCAGAAATTTCTCTCTTTCCTTTGTATTTAACACCTATCATTTTAGTACTTAATCACAGTGGAGAAATCCTGTATGGTTACAGAAGTTCTGTTCATGGACTTGGTTTCCAACTGAACCAGCTGCTTGAAGTCCAATAATAGAATGATTACAACACCTACACACAATTGCAGATTAAAGATTGTGGATGCCATGCATTTTCTTTTGGCCTCCCTCTCATTCCTTGGTTTGAACTTAGCTTGTTAGACAGCCATATGAATGGAAAAATACCTAGCTTCTAAAATGCAATTTAACTCCATAAAGAAATAAATGAAATGCAAATGCACTCATCCTCATTTAGCTAAATGGTGATGGGTGTGCAGGCTACTTGTAAAGCCAGTGTGCATGTTTGATGAGCTTGTTGCCAGACAGGTTCAGGACACTGAACATGCTTTTCTGTACAAAGCTTGTGCACATAATCTCTTCCTTTCTAGAGAACTCAAAAGCTTTTTTTGCCCATGCCATTATTCATCCTGTTGTGAGCTGTAATTGTTTATTTCCTCTTTTCTAATAGCTCATGAATTTCCTGAGGCAGGGGCAACTTCTGAATTGTTTTGATGTCTAGCACCTAGTTCTTCGTAGGAACTGAGGCAGTAGCTAGACTCTGGGATGGGCGAGTTGGTGTAAAAAGTTAAATAAATAAATAAGTCAATGAAAATTATATTCTGTAATACAAATAGGTATTTTGTGAGGGTGCTAAGAAAGCAAGTATGCCAAACTACAAATTTGGAGAACACTTCTTAAAAGGGATGATGCTTGAGGTGAATTTTGAAGGACAAGTAAAAGTTAAAGAATGATAAATGGATAGGAAAAAGTCTTCCAAGCAGAGAAAAATGGCATGAGCATAAGCATATATAGCTGAAGAAATGTTTGTTGAGTAAGGGGTTGAACTACTTTTTTAAAAAAGTTCTACCTGATTCTATATTTATTTCTTCATTTTTCCTTTTGCAGGGTCCAGTCTTTGGCATAAAAACCAAGTTAAATTAAATTTATCTTACGCCCTATTGCTCAGTTTTTATTAGGCCTCCTGCCAAATTTCCTGGAAGCTCTGTTCATATTTGTCTTTGGCAGTAGGCGTTGCTGATGTTTGTGCCTGTGTGTATGGTTCTCTTGTCACTGAAGAATTTGTGTTGTGTTCCTTAGACTCTATTGAAGTTCTTCATATAGTTCCCTAGAGTTGGCTAATTTAAGACTCCTATAAACCGACAGTAGGACATTGTTTGAGGAGTCCCAGATGGAGAGGGTGCTGGCCAGGCTGAGGAACACCCTCCACCCCCACCCCTGCATGAATTTTGGGCACTAGGCCACTAGTATCTCAATAAAACTGAAAAAAGAAAAAGAAATTCCAGGTCTTTCATTAGACCCTATGTTGCCAGATGTAGCCAACTCTAGTCACTGCTGAAAGGGAGAGCTCAGGGAATAGATATGTACATAGACTCCCCCCTCACCTTTCATTACTAGTATTTAAAATTTTTTCTTAAATAACTTAAGAAACTCATCTTGCTATGTTCTTATTACTTCTTTTGCAAGTTACCACGATTTTGCATCTTTCCCTAAATGCATCTACTTGGATTTAATGTCCTCCAACAGTCCTGCTTCCTCTCCTCTTGTATATTTTAGCATTTGCCAGTGAACATTTTCTCAAGATGCTCTGTGGGGAAAAAAGAGCTCGGAACTCAAATAAGTTTGAAAAATGAGATATGAAACTGCTGTGCCCCACTCTGAAATTCATAATGCATGTGGGCTTTGAGAAGTCCTGTAAAAAATTTGTCTAAGTAAGGGTTTCCCACATGTGTTTGACTACAGAACCCACTTTGATGATTGTTGTTATGTATAAACTGACTGTTTAATGAAATTTGTTTTGGAAAACACTAGTGCTTTACTGAAATTTAAGTGAATAATCTTTGTATTTAAGTGACTCATTTTAAAAACTAGAGTGGAATGGGGAGGCTGACAGAAGGGCCTGGATAGACTTTATTGATCTGTGGATCTGTGAGAGTTTTATGGGAACTGGAGTTCCTGACCATTTTTCCCTATTGGAGTTAACCTATTTCTATCTTTTATCTTGATGAAAACCTGGGTAAAGCATCTTAACTATTCAGGGATTTAGCTAAGGAAAAGTTACACAATGCTCCAGGGGTCTAGGGTTATTTCTGCATTGTTTTCACATTCCCCTCCCTCAATTTTAAGTTATTTTAGTTCAAGCACAAATGTTCTTTGCCATTCATGAATCACACAGTTCATGAGTTTCCTATTCTTTTTACTTCCATAGTGGAGAATGGACTTTTGGCATAGTAACCCTCCAGTCTTCCTCCTTCATAGCTCTGTTCTGGTCAGACCAGCAGCTGCTTCTGGAGCACTAATGGCTCTTTGGGTCCTGACCATCCAACTAGCAAGAGGAGATGTTGTCTTTATTGGAATAGCACACCCTGACCAGATCTGAAAAGGAGATCTAGGTCATCTTGACAATTCTAACCTCCCATTTCACCATTGCAAACAGTTCTCTGTCCTCATCTTTTTTTTTTAAATTTTTATCTTCACAATGCCTTTAGAACTTATAATAACCATCTTAGCACATTGATTTCTTTCTTCTTTTTTGGTACCAGTTTTAGCAAGATATAATTTATATGCCATATAATTTACACATTTAAAGTGCACAATTTAATGGATTTTAGTATATTCACTGTCATGCACCTAACAATCAATTTTAGAACATTTTTATCACCCCCTAAAATTCTATGTAATATCCCCATTTTCTCCTTCCCATCTTCCCAACCTTAGGAAATTGCTAACCTACTTTCTGTCTATAAATTTGCCCATTTTGGAATCATACAATATATGAGTTTTGGTGACTGGCTTCTTTCACTTAGCATAATCTTTTTAAGGCTTATTATGTTATCATATGTCTTAGTATTTCGTTCCTTTTTATTGCTCCATAAGATTTGATTATATGGATAGACCACATTTGGCTTTTGACAATTATGAATAATACTGCTGTGAAAGCTCATGTACAAGTTTTTGTGTGGATGTATGTTTTCATTTCTCTTGGTTATATACCTAGGAGTAAGATTTCTGGATCATATAACTATATGTATAACCTTTTGAGGAACTATCAGACTGTTTTCCAAAGCAGTTGCACTATTTTACAATTCTACCAGTGGTATAGGAAAGTTTCGATTTCTCTAAATCCTCACTAACACTTGTTATTTTGATTATAGCCATCTAGTATGTGTGAGGTAGTATCTCATTGTGGTTTTGATTTGCATTTTTCTGATGACTAATGTTGAGCATCTTTTCATGTGATCATTGGCATTTCTATATCTTATTTAGAGAAATGCCTCTTTAGATCCATTGCCCATTTAAAATTATATGTTTACTTGTTATTGAGTTATAGTGTTCAACTTATTTATATATTTTATATACAAGCCTCTTATCTGATACATGATTTGAAATTTTTTTTCTTTCATTTTGTGGGTTGTCTTTTCACTTTCTTTTCTTTTAATATAACCAGCTTTTAAAAAAATATATTTTTTATTGGTTTTTCACAGAGAGGAAGAGAGAGGGATAGACAGTTAGAAACATCAATGAGAGAGAAACACCGACCAGCTGCCTCCTGCACACGCTCCACCAGGGATGTGCCCGCAACCAAGGTACATGCCCTTGACCAGAATCGAACCTGGGACCTTTCAGTCCGAAGGCCAACACTCTATCCACTGAGCCAAACCGGCTTTGGCTCTTTTCACTTTCTTGTTGTCTTATTTGTGTCCTTTGGAGCACAAAGTTGTTAATTTTGATGTCTAATTTATCTGTTTTTTTGTTGTGCTTTTGATGTCTTATTCAAAGTCATGAATATCCCTATGTTTTCTAAGAGTTTTATATTTTAGCTCTTAAATTTAGATCTTTGGTCCATTATGAATTAATTTCTACATGTGGTGTGAGGTAGAGGTGTGCTGACCACTTCAGGGTGAGGTCCCGCCCCCAGGTTTTGCCTCTTGGTGCTCACTGATACACTATTTCATATGTTAAACCTTCCCAGAATCCCCCTCATTGATATACTATTTCGTATGTTAAACCTTTCCTGACCACTTTTCCTTATTGGAGTTAACCTATTTATGTCTTTTTCCATACAAGTGTCACCCAGTCATGAGACATTGTGGTATTGTACCTGGATTTAAGATTTGTAGCTTTGGGCCACTTCTCTAAGCCAATTTGCAGCTGCAACCTTTTCAGGCTTTATGATTCTATTACTCTGATAAGTGAACCTGGACTAATGTCCTAGAGGTTGTCAATGGTTTAATATGATACACCAGGGATAACAAGTATGTGCCTTCTCTTCCATTTATCAACCATGGCAAATTCACTACATTCATCACTCTCACATGGGACCCAGTCATGACAGATTTCTCAATCCACTATAGTGTTCTAATTGACTGTGACCAATGGATCACAGTTGAAATATGTTTGCCCTGCCTATCTTTCCTCCCACCTTTACACCTAGTGCTTCGGTATAAAGGAGGGACTAGTGGTGACCTGAGGCCATAGATGTTAGGAGCATGGGTTCTGGGGCTCAGCAGCCTGCGTTCAAAGCCTATCTCCACTGCTCTCTTTCTGTGTGAATTTGGGAAAGTTTCTTACTTTCTCTGGGCCTCAGTTTTGTTGTTTACAATGTGGAGCATAACAATAGTCCTACCTCATATGGTTGTAGAGGACTAAATAAAGCAATACATTTAAAAAAGTGCTTAGAACAGTGTCTGGTGCCTATAACTCCATTATTGTTAACCATTATATTAATAACTAGAGGCCCGTTGCACAAAGAGATTCATGTAATAGGCCTTCCTTTCCTTGGATTCCAGCACCAGTTTTCCTCCAGCACCCGGGACTCAGGCCTTCGCTCTGGCCAGAGTCTGCCTTCTTTGTCTTTGCTGCAGACTCCAGCTGGAGTCTGCCACCTTTGTCTTCACTGCAGACCCCGGAGCCTGCAGTTTTGTCTTCGCTGTGGCACTCCACTTCTGTAGATCCCTTCACCCCCACCCGCTCTCTCATGGCAGGTGTCCTGCTCCATCTGGCCACTCCCTGCCTGGAGCAGTTGGGTGGCCGCCATCTTTGGTCTTATAATTTTCATACTCATTCTGATTGGCTATGGGCGTAGTGGAGGTATGGTCAATTTACATGTTTGTCTATTATTAAGTAAGATAGGCATGGTAAGAAATTGGAAGGCTGGTAGAAGAAAAATTCTTCAGTTGACAGGGCTTTGTGGTACCCTTTTAACCTCCAAAGTAGCCAAACATCTATTCTATCTATGAATGTGGATTGATCCCGTTTCAAAATTCATTCATTTATTTGGTAAAAATTTAGGACCTACTGTGGGCTAGGGATTCAGCCAGGTGTCTAAGAGTTAGTTACTAAGACATGTCCCTTTCAGAGTCCACAGTGTAGTGGGAGTGACAAATAAGTAAAAAGGTAGTTACAGTAGTCTTAATTGCAATATTAGCATTTGCAAAGGGTCTTTAGGGAGCATAGTATGCAGGTAGAGTCTTCTTGGTGATAGTGTTGAATCTGAGTGGGAGGAGAAATATGTGAGTCCTCTAGATCTGGCTGGCCTCTTAACAGTATTACTCAGGCAGTGGATTTCTTGGTGAATTGTTAATACTTGTTCTCATTGGTGGCACACCACAGAGGCATGCTATGCCCCTCCGCATTCAAGCAGTCACTTGACTGACAGCCCCAGACTTTTCCCACTGCTCCCTGAGCTGCCGTACTCCTGTCTCAGTCCAGGCTGATGGAGTGGGGAACAGAGAAGTGAAGACACATGAAAGAACTCTGAATTTGCAGCCCCAGACTAATTGGATCACTCTGTGTACCTTCGGAATGCATGAATGCCAGGCTTATTGGGGACTTGGAAAAGTCGATGAGTCCATCCCGCTGCTTAACTCAAGATAGGGCAGGTCTCGATGACAGCATTATATGGTGATAGCATGGAAAAGGGTGAAAGGAAAAATACTCTTGTATGACAGGGGTGGGTGTTGGTGCTGTGATTCATCTTGTCCTCTCACTGGTATCTTACAGTAAGAAGCTGTTGTGTGATGTGATGATTGTGGCAGAAGATGTCGAGATAGAAGCCCACCGAGTGGTCCTGGCAGCCTGCAGCCCCTACTTCTGTGCAATGTTCACAGGTATGGTGAAGGGAGACAATAACAGTAATTGGGACAAAATTGAGGGTGATGGCATGAGGGGAGGGAGGAAAGAGAAGGCTGTGACACTCACCATGAACTTCTTTGTGCCAGATACTGTGCTTTGCACCATGGAGGACTTGTTGAAAACATAATCTCTGCCAGGCCAGTTGAACAGGCAGCCCCTTGTCACCAGGAGGCAAAGAGAGTAGAATTCCTGTAGTCCATTAGTTCTCAAACTGTGGCATGAATCATAATCATGTGGGAAGCTTGTGAAAAACATAAACTTATGGGCTCATCTCTAGGCCTTCTGATCTCTCATTTTGCAGATGAGGAACCCTGAGGCGGAAAGAAGGGGAGGGACTTGCCCAAGGTAACCCAGAGAATGAGTGCGACTTGGCTTCTTGATGGCTGTCCCAATGCTGTCATGGGCCTCCTCTGGGAGAGGTGATAGTGGGACCTGGGGAGAATAAGACAGGAATATTCACTATTGGTCATTCATTCTCAGCATCTTTGCCAACTTTCCAGGGAGTGCCTCTTCTCTGAGCATGCCAAGTATCCTTGCCCAACTGTTCACATGTGTTTCTTCTGAAATAGAATTCCTTGAACCCATGTGTAGAGCTTCTGGTGTGTAGAGCCACACCGCACCTTCCCTGAACTAGTAAGGGTAGTGCTCTGTAGGTAACTGCTGACTGAAGGCCCACGGGGCTGGGTGAGACAGAGACTGGATCAGTGTCCCTCCCCGACGCTCACCAAGTACTCTGTGCTTCCTCTGAGAGCATCTGTTTCCTGGTGTCTGCAGTGCCTGTGCTCTGGCATCTTGTATGTTGGCTGCTCCTCATCCTCCAGTTTACAGCTCAAAGGTCTCTGCTTCCTGGAGGTCTCCTCTGACCACCCTAGCTATAGTTCCCCATTAAGTCTCTTTTCTATCCCATAACTTAACTCTATTTTTTTTTTTATAACATTTATAACTATTTGAAAATCATGTTGGTTAGTTGTTTATAGTTTTTCACCACTCTCTCCTCATTAGACTATAAACTCCACAAAGTAAGGGATCTTGTTGGACTTGTTACTATATCCTGAGTATCTGGTACACAGTAGGACTCATGTTTTTTAAATAAATGAATGAAATGTTTCTCACATTTGATTGTGAGCTTTGTACACTTGGGGACCATGTCTTGTCACTGTTGAATCCTCCGTGTCAACCATAGGGCCTGATATAGTTCATAAGTAATGATCAAAAGAATGAAAGGTTTGCTAAGAATAGGTGTGTGCAGGCACATTTTCGCTTGAATAGGCTCTGACCTTTCCCTAATACAGTACACAGCCTCTCCTGGGCAGGAGTGGTTCCTGTTGGGGAAAACTTGGCACTTAACATTTTGAGAGTTCCTCATATGTGTGTTCCCCATGGCTCATCATGTGAAGGAGCTGGTCTCAGCTCAGAGCTGTCTCTGCTAAGTGGACCAAGCCACTCACACCTCACTTTGAACCTTAGGCTATGAATTTCACAGTGTAGCCTGAAAAACCAGATAATTTCATTACTTGGACATTTTGAGCCACATTCCTTTTAGAGTAATCTTAAACCCTAGTAGTAATGTTATAATTTTTTCCTTCTCTTTCATCAGTCTCCTTTTAAAAATATAATTCATTTTGTCTGCAATAAATACTTAGCCAAAATTTTAATAAGTATGTCAGTCATTCTGTGTGTGTGTGTGTGTGTGTGTGTGTGTGTGTGTGTGGTTTGGAAAGTCCAGTGTTGTGATAAGAATCTTTTGGGAATTGTATAACTTTAGAATTGGCTCCACTTTTTGCTAATGAACTTGCTCTCGGGTAGTGAAAGTGCCTAAGCAAAATGAAAATGATTTTAGAACTGGACAGGAAAGATACTTTTGGGGTAGTCTTAGATTCTAATAATTGAATGGGAGGAAAGACTCAGAGAAGAAAGCAATTGCCCTGGCTGGCATGACTCAGTTGGTTAGAGAATTGTCCTATACACCGAAGGATTGTGGGTTCAGTTCTAGTTCAGGGTGTGTGCAGGAGGCAACCAATCGATTGATGTTGATTGATGTTTCACTCCTCTCTCTCTCTCTCTCTCTCTCTCTCTCTCTCTCTCTCTCTCTCTCTCTCTCTCTCTCTCTCTCTCTCTCTCTCTCTCTCTCTCTCTCTTTTTCCCTTTTTACTTTCTTCTCTCTCTTCCTCCCTCCCTTCCTCTCTCCCTCCCTCCCTTTTCCCCCCTCTCTCTTTCAAAGCATGTCCTTGGGTGTGGATTTAAAAATAATAACAACAAAGAGAAGAAAGTAATCTAATGTCAGCCAAAGCCTTTCATTGAATCTGGTTGCCATCCATCTATTCATTTATCTATCCACCCAATAATCACATATGTTCATTGAAGAAAAAAATTAAAAAATGTGAGCAAATAAAATGATAAAAAATTACATGTAATGCCACATCTAGATAAGATTATAATTTATATTCTTTAAGGTTTTGGATTTATAAATATATATATATTTATGAATATAGATATGAAATATATTTTATGAGTTCATTTTATATATACAGAGTTGAATAGCCTTTCTTGATGTGTGTTCACCTTCCTGAAATGTTCTTCCTCCCCGCCTCTTTGCCTGCCTAACTCCTATTCATCCTTCATTACCACTTAAGCATCATTTCCTCAGGAAGGCTTTCCATGATCCCCTTGGATTAGGTTAAATCCCTTTGGTTTACTTGTGATACCCTATGCTTCTCTTTAGTATTCTAATCTTATTATTTCTTCAATATTTGACTTCCCAGTTCAGTTATAAGCTTTATGAGGGTAAGAACTGTACCTTTTAAATTTACTGCTATATCCTCACTGCCTAGCACAGGCATCTTCAAACTACGGCCCGAGGGCCATGTGCGGCCCGCAGAGGAGTCTGATCCGGCCCGCCAGGTTTTTTGGGCAGTGAGCGCAGCCGAGGTGTTACAGTAGGAATTAGTAGTTCATATAGTCCGGCCCTCCAGCTCTCTGAGGGACCATGATCTGGCCCCCACTTTAAAAAGTTTGAGGACCCCTGGTAGCACAATCTTCTATATAGCAAGTGCTCAATGAAAATTTGCTTAATTGAACTTAACAGAATTTTGTGAATATTTTTTCATAGTTAAATCACATCTACCTCATAATTTTAATGGCATCTTAAGATTCCATCATAAGTACCCTATTGAAAATGCATTTCCTTACTGGTTGGAAATTATAGTTCTTTCTAATGTTTTGCTGCTGTAAATATCATAATGGGTATCCTTGCATCTTAATGTTTATTTGTATTCCTGATTATTTCCTTAGAATGTATTCCAAGAATAAGAAATATTTGGTTGAAGGGTATCCACATTTGGAAGACTTGTGAGACATTCTGCAACTCTACAACTCTAGGACAGTTGAATCAGCTTATGCTTCATCAGCAAAAATGATATTTGTGTATTTTTTTGAGGCTGGTTTTGCTGAAAGCTTGGTAAACAGGTATAAAAAAAGTAACATTGCAACATTTTGTTGTAATTATCAAGTTCAACTTTAAAATGCATAAAATTAGTAATGAAAAGGCCCAGCTGACTCATGCAGAGTCCATTTCTGTCATCATCTTTAAGGCCAAAAAGAAAATAAAATACGTGTGACTTTCTTCTGATTTGATTGATGTGATTAGAATCTTTTGTTCAGGCTTAAAATTTTTTATTTTATTCTATTTTTTGTCCTCTGAGTTTATATTGCCCAACTGTCCTGTGGTAGTTCCAATACCAACTCTACTACTTGACCATGTCCTGCTCACAATAATCTACATTAATAATAGCTTGGTAAACAGGTACAAAATATGCAAATTGACCATACCTTTGTGATGCCCACCTGCCAATCAGGAGCAAGTATGCAAATTAACCCAACAAAGATGCCAGGCTAGTTTGCATATACAGGCGCCCAATGGCAGAGGGAAGGGCCAGGATACTTGCATTCTGCACTACCCCAGCTGCTTCAGGCCTCTGTGCAGTGTGGGAAGGCGGAAAAGAGGCTCAGGCGGAGTGAAAGGCGGTGCGGGCAGCCAGGGGAAGGAAGGCCCATTCTTGCATGAATTTTCATGCATCAGGCCTCTAGTTTTGCATAAATGTGAAACAGGTCTGAATGCCCACAGAGTGTCCAAAGGCAGCCAGTCTGTGGAAAGATCTGGGATGGGCAGCTTAATGGTCCTCTACTTCTTTTGCATAGTGTGATTGGAGAGGCCAGTAGTGATGTGTTCTGCCCATCTTTTCCCTGTGAGTATGGAATCTTTAAGATCTGTGCCTGTCCATTCACCTCCCCATCTAGGACCTCTATCCCAGGGGAAGCTCATTTCCCCAAAATAGCCTAGTTAGTTTTTTACCCCTCTTTTTATCATGCCCTTTATTATGGGTTCTGTTGACTATAGATATTTGTATTCCATATAATCATCTAAATACTTTAAAAACAACTCCATTTTACAGTGTTAAAGGACCTGAGATCTAAAGACCTCAGGCTTAGGGTCTTACACCCATCATCAGAGGTGCAAATATGTTACAGCTCTCATCCAAATGAAGCCCCTTGAGTGAGCTGTCCTGTCCTGGTTTTATATGCAGAAGCTGATTAGAGATTATTTTTGTTATATATATATATATATATATATATATATATATATATATATATATTCTAATTGATTTTAGAGAGGAAGGAAGAGGGAGAAAAAGATAGAAACATTAATCATAAGAGAGAATCATTAATTGAGCATGCCCCACGCTGGGAATTGAGCCCCTCCCTAACCTAGGCATGTGCCCTGACCAGGAATCAAATCGGGACCTCCTGGTTCATAGGCCCATGCTTAACCTCTGAGCCACGCCAGCTGAGCTGATTTTGTTTTTTAAAGAAGAGTTGCCATCCAGTTTTTGCTAGATGTAGGCTGATGTTTAGCTAGTATCTTTAGTGAGTAGAAATAGGGAGGAGAGACAGGAATGTGCTGGGGTAAGAGGCAAGGGCTTAGACTTTGAGTGGACACAGACCATCACAAAGCAGAACAATGATGGCCCAGCTTCCTCACTCACCTCCCAGGTATGCACACATTCCACAGAACCTCTGTTTCCATCCTTTCTTCTGCCAGACTCTGACAGCCCTGACCCTTGTCGGTGTTCTGTTTGCATGATGTATCGATGTCTTTGAAGATCTTTATGGTAACTTGCAGCTTAACAAGACTTAATCCAAGGCAGTGCGGCTAGGAGGGAGGGAGCACTAGAGAATCCTTCCCTTGGACTAAGAAGACTCAGTGAAGTTGTAGAGGAGGAGGAGGAGGAGGAAGAGGAGGAGGAGGAGGAGGAGGAGGGGGAGTAGAAGGGTCTGTTCCTGAGGGTTTTGCCCCTAAGGAGTCAGGGATTAGGTGCCATAGCTCAGAAAAAGAAAGAAAGAAAGAAAAAAAAAAGATTGGAGGCTGCTTGGGATTAAGGAGAAATGGCCTTATCTTCCATGTGACCTGTCTTTTAGTCTGGGCTGAAGCTTACAGTGAGTGACACAGGGTTTCTTTTTCCTGTCCTTAACAAACCACATCAAATCCAGGCATCATCTTCTGGCTTAGGAGACCCAGATTTGAGGATGAGGGGTACAATAGTCTTGTCTAAAAATAGGTTGCTCTTGGCCTGGCTTGCCCTGGCTTGTTTTGCTCAGTGGTTAGAGCATCAGCTCATGGACCGAAGGGCTGAGGTTTGATTCCTAGTCAAGGGTACGTATCTTGGGTGCAGGTTCATCCCTGCCCCCAGTCAAGTCTTGTGCAGGAGTAAACTCAAGAGAGATTGTGAGCACCTATCTTATGGGTAGAGGAAAAAGCCATAATCTTTTCTGTTTCCTCATTGCCTCTTTGCCCTGCCTCAAGGCTCTTGGTGCTGAGGCCTTTTGACTGGCTTCCACAAGCAGTCAGAGAGAAGAGAGAACAACGTGGAGGGTCTCCCGCCTGCCTGATCTGGTATGAAGAGAGCAGGCAGGGTTTAGAATGGTTCCTCCCTTCCCTCCCTGTTCCAGAGTCATTCACATCTGGAACTCTGTCAGGGTGGGAGCTGCACTGGGGAGGAATCCTGTGCAGCATGGAGGTGGGTGTCACTACCCACACGCGGTACTGTACTTGTTGTCTTGGCTCCAATGTATAATGCAAATCCCACAGAGAAAAAACAACCTCCCAGCTCTGTTTCCACACTCTCATGACAGCTTCTGAATCCCAGTTTCTTGCAGTCAGGTTGCCCTTTATTTTATTCTACAAAGACACACATCTTGCCTGCCTTTTCTTTCTGAAACCGGCAGCCCTTGTGGGATGACCCTGGCTCTAGACTGACCTCTGTGCTATATAGAGAGGGCAGGCCGAAGTAAAGGGCCTCAAGACTGTGCAAATGTGGTGCTGCTGCTGCCCTCGTTCACAGGCCTAGGTCCTCTCTCGTGGATTATGATGAGGGTCTTCCAGCAGTTCTCCCTGCCTCTGATCCAGCTTCAACAATGCATCCCAAGTTTCATTCAGAAACACCCCTCCTTAAAACCTTTTAATGGCACTACTGTTAGCATAAAGTCAAAATTTATTTGCATTGCTTACAGGGTTCTGTAAGTTACAAGTCCTGGCCCCTACCTAGTTCTCCAGCTTCCTTCCTCACTGTTACCCTAGGTACAAGTCATACTGGCCTCTTACTGCTCCCAATATTTCCCTTTGGCATTTTCCTATCTTTACACTTGTGGTTGCTACATCCAGCTCGTCTTTCCTCACCTCTGGTGCCTGTGGAACACTCTATTCTCTAATACCCAGCTCAGTAGTGACCTACTTGGATCCTTCCTGAGTTCCCTGGGCAGTGTTTCTTTATCTTCTGCATTCTTGGGATTTAATATAGTATATTGAGTACAAGAATAGGCTCTAGTGTCAGAATCCTTGGTTTCAACCCCAGCCTGGCCCCTTTCTAGATTTGCCTCAGTTTCTTCATCTGTAAAATGGGGTTAATATTAATAAACATCATAGGAAAAGTACCTAAGACAGTGCTTGGCCATAGTTTGCAGTAAATGTTACTTCTTTAAATTGTTGTTATTGTGTTATGGTTACTTTGCTAAACCTCTGCTTGTTCTTACCACCTCTGTTTAGATGTATTTTTATAAGTCTCTACTAGACTAGAACATGTGTTCTTTGAGGACAGGTGCATACTTTTTTCACTTCTTCTGGTCTACTGTGTAGAAGTTTACAGTAAATGTTGGTTGAATGAATTATTGCGCACAGATTTGCTTTCAAAATGGAAATGGGTAACAGATAGAGTGGGGGATGCTTAAAGAATTAAAAGCCTGGGTGACTCTGCTTTGTGGATGTGACCTGATGTCAGCTGGATGACCTTCCAGAGCGCAGGCAAGTGCTTTATGTTACCCATATGGGGCAGGAGGCATGTGAGAAAGTTAAGCATACTCTTGATGCCAAGTTCATGTTCATTTTGTTTCGTTTTGAACTGTAGGTGACATGTCTGAGAGTAAAGCCAAGAAAATTGAAATCAAGGACGTGGATGGGCAAACACTGAGTAAGCTGATTGACTATATCTATACGGCTGAAATTGAGGTGACTGAAGAGAACGTCCAGGTAAACTCAGACCCAACTACTAGCTCACTCCAGGCCCACCATTCCATAGCATCCTTTCATTTAACCCTCACAACAACTTAGTTGGTAACTGGAGAGGAAACGAAAGTTCCAAAGAGGTTAGGCGATTTGCCTGAGTCACAAGGCCAGTAGGTGGATGAATGACCCTCAAACTCATGCCTGCCTGACCACAGCACCCACACTCTTCACCATGAGGCCATAAGACCTCAGAGCAGAAGGTCTTTAACTCCTGTTGGTTCAAAGGAAGAATTAAAAGCCTGGGTGACTCTGCTTCTTCCCAGTTATCATCTCATCGCAGGGATTTTGAGTATTGGATTGTAAGGTTGTTAAAAATGTTTTCCTGTGTCAACATTAGTCAATTGAATGCCTCTGCACATGTAGGGTGTCAAGCACCATGGCCAACTCTCAGCAGGGTTGTTGGCTGTGATATGTGTTGCCTGTGCCTTTTCCTCCTTTCACGGCCCTGCCCTCATCCTCAGCATCTGGATTTGGAAAAAAGGAATCAGTGAACTTGCTGCCCTGTGTGCCAGGAGACAAAATGGGCACAGAGAGCACTGTGAGCATAGAAGCCCTTTTACCAAAGAGCACATGGTCTGAAGCTGGACCATGGTTGAATATAGGTGTCCTATAGACTGGTAGGGGCGAGGGCGGAGGGACCCAGTAAGCAGGCAATGGTCATCACCACCTTGAAGAGGATGGTAAGAGTAGGCCTCTCTGAAGAAACATTGTTTGGGCCAAATGTTGAAGGAAGACTGGGAGGTCAGGCCTGCGTCCTCTGCCCACCAGTCTGCATCCTCACTGGTGTGTGTATCTCAGATGGGCCTGCTGTTCGTCTCTCGTGTGTAGGGAGGGGCTAGCCTGAGCAAGGGCTCCCCTGGGAAGCACAATGTGGAACCTCAGGGAACTTCATTGTTTGGAATCAATGAGATACAGTTTCCCTTTTCCTCTCCACTTTAAATTATGGTTTGTCCTTGGGAAAAAACAAAACAAAAAAAGATTGAAAAGAGAAAGTCTGGATCAAAATGTGACTGCTTCTTCATGCTGTTACGTATCTTCTGAGGCTGTTGCTCACAGCTGTCTATGACATCAGTATTTGAAGATTTGGTGCAGTGAGAAGGAGAGCATGGAAGCATTGGGACTCTCCTGAAAGTCTTAGAAACAAGGGTCAGAAATTTGGGGTTTGGTTACATGGCTGGGAGAGCTATACCCCTAATCTCTTCCCAGCCACACATACTTTGAAGATACGGAGTTGCCCTCCTGTGGTAGAGGTAACAATTGTTATAACTTGCATATAATGCTCACAATAAGCCAAATAGGTGTTGATCATTTCACATACATTATTTCATTTAGTTCTTGTAAACACCAATGGGACGTTCACCTATGACCTTCTTTTATAGTTGAAGAAACTGATGCCCAAAGGGGTTACATGAGTCATACCCACGATCAATTATGTAGTGAAAGATAGAGTTGGGATTTAAAACCAGCTCTCTCCAACTCATTGTGCTTTGTTGATGTGGTGAACTTGAGTTTCTTATTAAATGATCAGAATCTTGACTTCAGATCAGAATTAATAATTATAAAAACTAATTTAACTGAGCACTGTTAACTGCTTTAAAAGTACTATCTCATTTGACCCTCATAACAAGTCTTTAAGGCAGGACCATTATTATCTTCCTTTATTGTTGAGACAGAGACACAGAGTGCTTAAGTAATTTGCCTTTAGCCACATACCTGGTAAGGGAAGTCAAAATCCAAGCGAGACTCTTAATCACAGTGCTATTCTGCTAGCTCTCTTGTTCACCTATACCCACTTCTCCTCCCTTCTCCTCCCTGCCTCCCTTTTCTTTTCCTCTTTGCCCTTTCCAGTTTCTTCTTTTTCTCAACAGATTTTTAATTTAACACTGCTTCTGTGCCAGGTTTCATGCCTGGTGCTGGGAGGGACAGACCCACAGTGTCACCTGGCCCTCTGGCTGGTGCCCTCCTTTACCCATGGCCCTGCCTCCCTGAAATTCCAGGAGTAGGTGCTTTCTGAGGCAGGGCACTTCCTTTTGTTTTTGTTAAAGGAAGTAAACTCTGTGACGGGATATCCTCTGCTGTGTTTTCATGTTATCCGAGGGTGAGGAAAAACAAAACAAGCCTACACGTAAAGAGTGGAGGAGGCCTCCGCAGCTGGGGGGGAGCCTGTAACTCGTAGCTGAAGGTCAGGTGGAGAGAAGCTAAGGCTTTCAACTTGGGGTCACCTTCCATACCTGTGGTGGTTCCAGCCAGCCACCACTTCTCCCGGCTCGGCCTCCTCCGTCCAGGGGCCATCAGAAGAGCCCTAGTGATTCCACCAGGACAATCTTACTTCAAAGCTGAGGATCCAGGCCTGGCCTCTTGTTCACAATCTTGTTACTGCTGCCACCTGCGGGAGCCGAGTTGCAGGCAAGATAAGAGAAGAGGAAATCCTCTGAAAGCTCTTGCTGATGTGGTGAGGGAGGCGAAGACAGCCCTTCCTGGACACGTGCTCTTTTCTTTCACAGGGTCTGGGGATGCTTGTTCTCATGTGTACCCCCAGAACCTTGTTGGACTGGGGCCCAGTTTATCCCTGAGACTCAGAGGCTAAGCAGTGATACATCTCCCAGTCTCCAACCCCCCTCACAATTCTGACTTCCTTTCCTCTCCTTCACACCTTCCTGTAGAAAGCAAATAGTGGGAAGAAAAGGGCCTTTGACTCATAGCTAATCTCAGTGTAACATCAAAGAGAGGGAAGGAGCAATTAGAGAAGCCATCAGCCCTATTTATTTTAGGAAGTCAGTTTGAGAATGCTTTTCAGCAGGAGAGGACCCAAACAGGATGGGGTAGGGGGTGGGAGGTGGGGTGGGGAGAGAGGTGAAAAGCCTTGTAATTTTTGCTTACTATGTGGGTTTTGTGAACAGTAGGGAAGTTGAATGCTATGTAGGTAGCTCTGTCCAGGGAGGTTTTAAAAACTGAAATTCATAACCTAAGGAGTGTGTTCAGGAAATATTTACTATCTTATATGTTTGGCTGGTTGCCATGATCTTGAGAATTTAAGCACCAAATTGTGCTGTTGCCCTCTTGGTGAAGAAGAGGGCAAGGGGGAGAGGGGGGGTAGCAGGACCAGGTGAGTGTCCCTGGCATGATCTCATTGTGGTTTGGCTGGGAATGCAATCTTGGGGGCAGATAGCACTTGTCAGAAATCCTTGTCTTTGTAGCTAAAGGGCTGCTATCCCATTCCTGCCTCTGGTCAGCCCTGACTCTTGAGGCTTGCCACAGCATTTGATTGCTCCTCTGCACCAGGGCTGCTTAGGGTTAGAAGTTCCCCTGAACAGGTGAACACCTGACCCTGGGACATAGGACTTTTAGTGCCAAAGCTGACACATTCACAGCAAACCGGGATGGTTGGTCAACCTCTGGCCCTAACTGCAGGGTTTGCAGCTGGTGCTGGTAGGGGTTGTCATGGAGGTCATTTGGGAATTTGGAGCAGAGCCTTCCATTCCTGCTATGTATTCAACAAGAATGGTTAATGGTTCTCTCCTTAACTAGCAGGCAGAGACTAATCTGGTTTGGAATCTGCTTGGCTAGGCTGAGCAAGCCCGCAGCTTAATTGAGTTTCTCAGTTTATGGCTGCTTAGTGGGGACAGTGGCTGCCTAGTGAGAACGGAGCTTAAGTGGACAGATTTGGATTCTGGCTGTGTCCGCTTACGATCTAAAAGTCAGGAGTGGGTGATCGCCACCCCACCCCCCGCCCTCCCTTGGGAGTGGGCGATTTTTATCTTTTTCCTTCTCTGGCATGAATCAGGGTTTGGAAAATGCCAAGGACACAATGCTAATTTACCGCTGTCCTGCTAGGGACATAGGAGAGGGGAAGAGAGGAAGGGAAGAGGAATATGTTTTCCAGAACTCAGCCTTGTGAGGAGGATGTTAATAAGCTTGTACTCGGAAGGGCTTTCCTTGCTGAGAGCAAGCGGGGAGCTTGGGAGTGGAGGCTCTTGGTGGTTTCTGCATATGGACAGGGATGAGAAAGGGCGACCCACTGTCCCAGTGTAAACATAGAAAGCCTTGTGTCCTGGAAACCCTTGGTCCTTGGCGAACCTGGATGACTGGGTGCCCTAGTGGAGGGAGAGGCCCAAGGCAATGGGCAGAGTGGGGCCTGAGTACAGGCTGGTGGAGAGCTGGAGCTAAGGCTCAGGACTGTTTTGGGAGATGGTCAGGGGGAAGAAAAAGACTTTTGTAGAGGCCCGAGTCAAGCAAAGAAATGTATCCACAGCCCTTGGCTTCCTGGGCACACCCTCGTGGCTGGGAGCAGCTGGAATCTGGCTGGCCCAGACATTCCCTGCGAGCCGGGGGAGCAGCTGAGAGCAAGCCCAGGATGTGGCAGTTGTTTGGGGTGAAATGCATGTTGTGGGTCCTGAGCTAAGCAGCCTCAAATCAAACTGTATTTTTTATTTCTTTCTTAATTCTTTTTTGAAGGACATGCTCACACTGTTGACCTCCTCCACAGGGCAGGGGGGAAAGGGAAGCAGAGCTGGGGTCAGGTAGGACTCTGGCCACGGGTCCAGGATATTTGATCCAGCGGGCAGGCTGGCCAGTGTGGGAAAGGCCTAGGGAACTCGAGAGGGGTTGGCAGTCTGGGCACCCATCTGGCCTGCTCAAGCCAGTTTTTCCTGGCCTTTAGGAAAAACACATGCAGCACACCTGAGCAGGACATTTCTCTGTCTTCCAGGAAATAGTGCGAATACTCATGTGTCCTGTGACCTTTTAAAAGGGAACTCAGCTCTCCTTTCTCTGAGAATGTAGCTAAAGATGTTCTCTTTATCTGTTGGATGGAAGAATAAAGTGTGTTTATCTGAGCCCTGAGGGACCTGGGGGTGACTCCCTTGTTCCAGTAGATTACATTCTCCGTTAGAGCAGGGTCTGGCTTATCATGCTTACCACTGAATCTTAGAGCCAGACCAGAGCCGGGCCCGGCACACCGACATTCAGTAATTGAATGGTGAATCAGCTAGTGAACAATTCAGCAAGCACTTTCTGTGTGAAGACAGTGTGCTAACGGCTGGAGGGCAGTGAGTCTCCAACGTGATTGTTTGTTAGAGGTAACCGGGCACTGCAGAAGCACCTCACTGTCCAGGCCACACCTCAATCCTCTCTGGTTAGAATCTGTGGGGTGAGATCCAGGCGCCAATAATTTAAAAATCCTCCAGGTGATGTTAATGTGTAGCCAAGAATCAATCTATCTCAGTCCGCTTGGGATGCCATAACACAGCACCGCAGATCGGGGAGCTTAGATTTATGGAGTCACTGTTTTGGAAGTTAGGGTTCCAAAATCGAGATTCCAGCTGATTCAGTTCCTGGCTTGCAGAAGGCCTCCTTCTCCCTGTGCCCTTACATTGGGGAGGGGGGAGAAGGGAGAGGAGAGGAGAGGAGAGGAGGGGAGGGGAGGGGAGGAAAGGAACAAACACTGAAATTTCTTTCTCTTCTTGCAAGGACACCTTAGGGCCCCACTCTTATGATCTCCTTTAACCATGTTACTTCTTCACAGGCCCTGTCTCCAAATAAGTCACATTGGGGTCTTCACAGGCCCTGTCTCCAAATAAGTCACATTGGGGTCTTCACAGGCCCTGTCTCCAAATAAGTCACATTGGGGTCTTCACAGGCCCTGTCTCCAAATAAGTCACATTGGGGGTTGGGATTTTTAAAAAAAATATATATTTTATTGATTTTGTGCAGAGAGGAAGGGAGAGAGATAGAGAGTTATCAATAGAAACATTGATGAGAGAGAGTCATCAATCAGCTGCCTCTTGCACACCCCCTACTGGGGATATGCCCGCAACCAAGGTACATGCCCTTGACCAGAATCCAACCCGGGTCCCTTCAGTCCCCAAGCTGACGCTCCATCCATTGAGCCAAACCGGTTTCGGCTGGGGGTTGGGATTTTGACATATAAATTGTGGAGGTGGGGCACAGACATTCAGTTCTTAAGGTTCTTTTTTAAAAATATATATATTTTTTTTATTGATTTCAGAGAGGAAGGAGGTGGGGGGGAGAGAAACATCAATGATGAGAGAAAATTATTGATTGGCTGCCTTCTCCATGTTCCCACTGGGAATCGATCCCACAACCGAGTATGTACCCTTGATGGGAATCGAACCTGGGACCCTTTAGTCAGTAGACCGAAGCTCTATCCACCAAGCCAATCCAGCCAGGGCTCTTAAGGGTCTTGATACTCAAAGTGCAGCCGGTTAGAAATGCAGGCTCTCAGGTTCCACCCTAGGCCTGTTGTATCAGAATCTGCATCTTAATAAGACCCCTAGGGAATTCATACAGACATTAGCGATTGGAAAGCACTGCTGTAGGCTAAGGGGAACAGAGAACAGGCTAGTGCTGAGACTCCGTGAGATGTAGAGTGGGGGGAAATGAGGCTTGGGCTGCCCTGACAGCCGGACCAGGTGGTTTGGACTGACCTGAGCAGGCAGCGGAGAGCCATGCCAGGATCTCAAGAATGGGAGTGGTATGATTAGAACAGAGTGGTAGGGAGGAGAGGCCCTGCTGGAGGGATCCAGTGTCTCAGAATGTCCCCTTCTCCTGCAGGTGCTGCTCCCAGCAGCCAGCTTGCTGCAGCTCATGGATGTTCGGCAGAACTGCTGTGACTTCCTTCAGTCTCAGTTGCATCCCACCAATTGCCTGGGCATCCGCGCATTTGCAGATGTGCACACCTGCACCGACCTCCTGCAGCAGGCCAATGCTTATGCAGGTAATGGGAACTGGGCTGCCACACCTCCTCCAACTTTGTGGATTGAATAACTTGGTCACCTGTGGATACCTCAAAGATTGTGAGAAGTGCACTCTGCTGTGAAGCAGCTATAATTCAGTCAGGGTCACAAGACACAGATGGGAAGATCATTAGCAATAGAAGAATTTAGCTCATTGCCAAGTATAATATGATTAATTGTCAGACTGATATCAGAGACAGTAATTTTCACAAGAGAAGAGGAAAGAGATCTGAGAAAACTTCATGGGGAAAGAGTAATTTGAGCTAGGTTTGAAATAAATCGTTTCTGTTGTTTAAGATGATTTCTATTTTAAAAAAATATATATATTTTATTGACTATTTTACAGAGAGGAAGGGAGAGGGATAGAGAGTTAGAAACATTGATCAGCTGCCTCCTGCACACAGCCTACTGAGGATGTGACTACAACCAAGGTACATGCCCTTGACCAGAATTAAACTTGGGACCCTTCAGTCTGCAGGCCAATGCTCTATCCACTGAGCCAACCTGGTTAGGGCAAGATGATTTCTGTTTTGATAAAAGTGTTCTTTTAACAGGAGCTTAACAGGCAAATACTACTGTAAGGCCTGTGAGGATAAAGAAAAGTCCCCGGCTCTGCCTTTCCACAAGTCTTGCTCTCTAGAGCCACTCACTTCAATTCTAAAAAGAATGAAAATGCAGGCTCTGATTCAGCTAAAAGCGGTTCCATCTACTCTTTATCTCCACTTATCAAAAACAATATGTTTACATCACTTTGGTTGGAATAGTTTTAGATATTATCTGCTGACTTCTCACAGAAGAATAAGATTGAAATTTCATAGACTTTCCCCTCATATACATACATCCTTCCCCTCTCTTTATTCCTACAATCTTATTTCTATAGCTGAACTAAGTTATGTATTATAATCATAGTTTCTTAAATATGAAAACTTTTTTTTTAATCAGAAAGGCAGTAATAATTATGTTACTATTTTTGAGATACAAATGGGACCAGTTGTTAAGATGATCCTGATGATGATGATTTTTGTGAAGGACATTCTCCAGATGCCCCAATTCTGAATTCTGCTGACTCTTCCTGGCTCTGAACCTCGACTCTCCTGTTTCTCTGCTGTGTTTCCTGTGCCCTCTTTTCTCTACACATTCCCCCATACCTTGCTGCTTTTTCTCAGGAGCCTTTCCTCTGTGGAGAGGGCTCCCCAGCCCAGTCTTTGAAGAGACCACTTTCTTGAGGCTTTGCTTCAGCAGGAGCCAAGAACTTGGCAAGACCCAGGTCAGCTCATGAACATCTGCTGGTGCATTGACAAAGGAAGAGCGCTTAGATGCCAGGAATTCCCTGACTCCCTTCCTGGTGTCCCTCCCCAGCCCTCTCCTTCCACACTGTGTGTGCCTGCACGCCTGCACACACAGCACATATCCCAGCCTATTGTAGTTGGCTGAGAGGATCATCTCAGGTTTGGGGAGTGTACTGAACCCTCACCTTTAACAAAGGCTCTCAGGCCCTTCTGGCTGGCTTTTCTCCACTTTCAAAATCTGTGTTTTCTCCCTTTGCGCTTTTCATTGTCTGATAGGGTAGGAGACTGGGGAGGATGCATTTGGGAGCACAGTGTTGTGTTGGTGCTCCATGGTCCTCATGTTGTCACAATGATTGGGACCTGCCAGCATTGTGTGACTGTGTGTGTGTGTGTGTGTGTGTGTGTGTGTATGGGAGGTGTGCACACACGTGTGAATGCAGAAATCCTGGTAAATTATTTCTAGCTAGTATTTATTGAGTTCTCACTTTGGGTCACGCTCTATGTGTCATCTCATTTAGTGTGTACAACAGCTAAGGAGTCTAAGGCATGGACAGGTGAAGTTATTTGTTGGAGTCACACAACTGGTAAGGACAGAGGCAGGTTTCAAACCCTACAGTTTGACTCCAGAGCCAGTGATTATAACTACTGCATACTATGCTTTCAGGCCCTGTCTGGACATAAGGCAGCCCTGTGGATCGCTAACTGAGGAGTATGGTTGGCTAGACCTGGCATTTTCCATCAGAAGTGTGAACCTGGAAGCCTGTGCCACATAGACAGATGCCAACAACCAGACAGTGTAGACAGACGACCAGCTGTCTCTGCAAGACATGGGCTGTTTAGTCATCGTGTGGGAAGTGAGACGCGGATGTCTTCTCTTCCATGTTGGGAGGTGGCCCCCTCACTGCATGCGTGAGCCCTCTATTTTCCCTGCTCGGTCAGTGTGACTTCAGGCTGAGAGCCTTACCCTGTCGCACAGGCCTTCCCTGGAGCCTGTGGCCATGTCCTGGCTACAGGTTTCTTTGCAGCCCGCAGGGAAGTCACGGAAATGCAGAGGTGGTAAGACCACGATGAAGACATTAGAAGAAGCAATGTGAAGGTAAATCGTACAGTGTTAGAGAAGGAAGTGTAAAGGGTTATCTTTGCTTGCTCCCTCAGTGGTTTGCATCCACCCACTGATGTGCGCTGCTGTGCGTCTTTGGTCTTTCACTTCCTCAGTTGAGGTGGAATCTGGCACTCTCTGCCCTCACTGCCGCCTCGTCCCACTGTAAGGGTGCAGGTGTGGGTCACATAAAAGGGGCAGTGTTGGCCCTTGTAGTCACCGGCTTCTCTGGCCCCCTGCCTCACATTAGTGGGGGTTTAAGCCAACCAACTACACGGAGACCCTCCAGATCAGAAGTAGGGGTCAGATCAGCCAACACTGGAGCAACCCCTACGCCTGTTTTCTCCACATAATGGGGGAAATACATCCTGCTCTGTTTTCAGGATGGTTTGGGATTGGGCAGGAGAGCTTCCTGCAGAAGTAGGCACCACCCAAGGCCTTCCTGCCAGCCTCACCCTCCGCAGTGAGAGAGCCCCAGAGCTGGGTCTTGGCAGAGAGAGGGACTCCCTGGGTCATCGCCGCTGCTGTTGCTGTGGACATCATGCATTTTGGGGAGAGGACCATCTCCAGAACTTCTGATTTTGGTTTCTCTGTATCAGGTGCACAGGTATATCCTGCTTTCCCACCTTGCCTAGTCTCTGGTTAGCTGGCCTCTGCCCTCACTTGTTCATGGTCCCAGCTTTGCCTCTGAATTCTGTTCCTTTTATTTCTCCAAGACAAACTTTCTTTTGCTGTTATAATTATTATTGGTATTGTTATTGCTAGCTAATAAAACACACACACCCCCATACTTATTACAGAAAATACAGACAGGCAGAAAGAGCAGGAAAAGCACCACAATCCTACCCAGAGAGATCCATGGGCAGCACCTAGTATAGAGCTTCCTCAGCCTTTTTTTTTTTTTTTTTTATCTGTTGTATCATGTGGATGAACTATAATTTATGTAACTCCATTCCTTGATTAATGGGCATTAATGTTAACTTCTTTCTTTTATATAAAATATTGAGTGATCATTTTTTTTACATAATATTCTGGAGTACACTTGCTAATATGTAAGTAATGGTAAGATTATACCTTTAGTTTACCTTCTTAGTGGCATAAAGTAGCTCAAAGGGAGTATGCATTAATTTTTTTTATAGATATTGCCAAATCGCTCTCTAAAAAAATGTAACCATTTTAAAGGCAGCTCTTGCCTTCTGGTGGTTAGTCCTTAGTTCCTAGGTGAAGGCACCGAGAGACAGACAGCAGTGGGACTCTGAGAGGCAGGGGCGCCACCTCTCCACCCAGAGTTCGCTCTCCTGTTTGGAATGGCCTTGCCTTTTCCCGGGTCTGGTTTTCCCTTCAAGGTTATGCTCCCAAGTGTTTGCTGTGATACATTATTCTGGGGTGGGGAGGGTGGCCTGGATTTAGAAGCTGACCACCCAGACTCTTGTCCCCAGCTGATGGTATCAGAGTTCTCCTGGGTAGCTAGTACCGTAGCTGGGAAAGGGACCTGAGTATTTTGCACAGCTTGTTTCTTAAAACTCATTATTGTTTCGAGGGACAGCTTAATCTTTAACCTCAGAGGCCAGGACAGGTTTATGGGGATGTTGTTGTTTGGTAATTGGACGGCCATGCACTGGGCCATCAGCAGAGCTGGTTGGGAGGGATGTTAATGAGACCCCGTTAATGAAATGGCAATAAAAATTCCTTGGGCATGTTGTTTACATCAGTCTGCCCAAGCTGAGCTGAAACCCTCCAGCCATGGGATTGAACACGTTTGTGGAAAGAAATGGCCTTTTTTTTTGATTGATTGATTGGGTCTTTTGAGATCATGGGATGAAGTGATTAAACTAAGGGCAGTAAAAAACTTTGACAAATCATTTAAAAAACACGAACCTCTGACTCACTGAGGGTTGTCTTAATGAAATTGCTGCCTTCAACTTGGCATCATAAAATGATGATGATGATGATGATGATGGTGGTGGTGGTAGGAGTTTCTGCCATTTCTGAACACTTGGCTAGGTTGTCATTGAGTGCTGTGAGTTAATAGGCACAGAACTATGAGAGGTAGTTCTTATTTTCCCAATTTATAGATGAAGAAACAGGAACTCCAGAATGTTTAGTAACTTGTCCAAGATCACCTAGTTTGTAAGTGGCAATGGCAAGATTCATGATGAGGCTGTCTGAAGCAGGGCCTGTTCTCCAAGCCCACTACTTACTGTCACATCCACCAGGCCAGTTCAGCCTCATTCCTGCTCCCCCTGATTTTCTGCTTCTAACTTGAAGGTGGCAAATGAAGCCTTAGAGCAGACACAGGTAGTCTGTGTTGTAGGATGGTCTCCTTGTTGGGATTTTAGGAAGCTTCCCTTATCTTCCTATTGTCTGGGTAACAGGGAACTCTGGTGTTGCATCAATAACACTGATGACTAGGCAGTTTTGATTCAGCCCTTTGCGTGTGCTCTCTTCTCTCTCTCTCTCTCTCTCTCTCTCTCTCTCTCTCTCCACGTGAGTTATAGAGAAAGGAAAAGGGACCACATATAGATATATTTCTGGAATTTCTGGAATTAAGTCAGTATGATAAAGAGCTCATATCTCATTATCCCCAGGGAGG